CTCAATCTAGTCAAGTGAATCTTTTAAAAGATGGTCTAGAAGTCAGAGAACTGAAGTAGTGGGGGACTCCCCCTTTGTCACTGGCTGGGAAGAGGTAGAATTCCATTAATTCTACAGCCTCAAGGAAAAACATTGTCTGACAGCCCCAGAGAGCTCTAAAGTGGGTCCCTCTTTATTCAAACCTACAGATGAGAGCACAGCCTTGAAGTCGCTGTGATTTCAGCATTGTGAGACCTTGAGCAGAGAATCCAACTATGCCCTGTGCAGAAGCCTGATCTGCAGAAACTATAAGATAAAAAAAAAATAGTTGTTTGAAGCTGTATAATTTGTGCTAATTTCTTTAAAGGGTATAAAAAATTAATACAGTGATTATGAGATGTCCCTTTGTGTTTTAATTTGCATATCTCAGCTTCTAGGACATTGAGTACCATCTCATGCATCATTCGCACACTCAGATACTATGTTTAATATATTACCTGTTTCTATCCTTTTTCCATGTTTCTACTATGACATTTTTCTTTACTCTTTTTGCATGTATACGAGGAATTCCTCATAACGTTTTTCTTTTAAGCATTATTCCGTTGCTGCAGGATCTCTGTTATTTATATTTTAAATTTTATTTCATTTAAAAGTAACAATTTTTATTTTATAATTTATTATTACTTTAATACTACCTGCAGTCCTAAGTATCTCAATTAGAAGCCACAATTAAGCAGTATGTCAGATCTCAATGATCTCATTCTGTTAGAGTGAGTTAAACACAGTCATCTTTCTAGAAAATATAAATGTCCAATGTGAATGACTCTTTGGACATAAGGTAATTGTTTACTGGACCAGTGGTTATTTAGAATTAATAATCAAAGGAAACTAGTCACATATAATAGCACTTTTTTGGTAATGCAAATGGAATATTCAGTTGTATGGTAAGAAATGGGTATGTGAAGGTGAAGTTGTTTTCTAATATTGGCCCACAATCCTCTAAAAACATATCCATAATCCACATTTAGGACTAGTTGTATTTTCAGTTGTCTCCATAAGATGCTACATCACTAGAAGTAGTCAGCGAAATAGCATTTCAATGCATTTATGATGTTGGGTCTACTTGCCATAATCAGATTGTCCACTGCAGTAGTTCAAATAATGACTAGTTAAAAGGACTTTGAATACGAACAGTAACATATATTGAAGAACATACACAGTTATTCTTTTCTCACCTTCACTTTAGTATATGAATGTACTCTGAGAAAAATAAAAATAGAACATACTTAAAGAGGTATGAGTGTTTGCAAAAACAATGGAAGACATGAGTGAAGGGGACAATAAACTTAGCATTAGATTAAGATCCCTGTGAGCATTAAGATTAAGATCCCTGTATCCCTGCGGAGCACAGACAAGATTTGTAAGTGGAGTGGCAGCTTTAGAGGGGTATACAGTAATTACTTGGCCTGCAGAATGTGGATTATCATTAGATGGCACAACACCATGAGGGATATTAAGTTGTCACGGTGTCAAATGGCAACAGATCAAGGAGTAAAGGGAAAGAGGAAGAACTATGAGATCAGAAAGCCAAGAGATATGAGTAGGAACCTTAGGGAATTGGCCAAAGATAGAGACAAAGCAAACCAAGTAAATCATCAAGGTAGTTGATAAGATCTAGCCAGCACAGAAGGGGTATAGATATTCTAAACCAAACATTCATTGAGTGACAAGTACATGTGGCTGTCATAGGTTCTAGGGAAAATAAATACAATTAAGCAGTGTCTCAGATCTTGGTGATCTCAGTCTATTAAGGAACAGTGATTTAAACACATTTATCTTGCTGTGAAGCAGACTGATGTATAACAGGATGCTTCGGAAGCACAGAGGTGGAAGTGTGATGATGACTGGGGAGATTAGGGAGAGCTACACAGAGGAAGTGTAATAAAAGTTTGACCTTGAATTATGTGTTCACCAGGAAAGAAGGAGAGACTATGAGAGAAGGCAGTGCAGGCAGGAAAAATGTCATGATCAATAATCAAGAAATTATCCAGGCTGAGTGTGGGTTGCAGAAGGATGTCAGGAACAGGAACTAAAGTCTCAGCAAAAGAGGGGGGTGCCTGGGTAAGAGATCAGACTATCAAAAAAAAAAAAAAAAAAAAAAGGAAAAGGAAAAAGGGAGGCAGAGTCTGAGGTTCCTTTTAGTCTCAGAAATAAGATTTCCCATCAAATGTGAAAACAGCCACCCTGTGTTGTTATTACTGCATTAGGTATCTCTGTTCAGAGTCAGAAACAAATTATAAATGTGAGTCGGAAGGAAGATCAGGGAGCTTGGCCTCAAAAGGTGAACCAAGAGCTAAGGAACCATTTCCTTTTCCATTCTACCAAACCACTGGATCTAATTGCAATATTCCCCAATATTTTCCTTTTCCCTCCTTTCCTGTAAACAACTGAAATGCGCAACTTCACATTCAATCATTTGTGGTAGAGCCAAAGATGCCATCTGTGTTATAATGTCTCATCTATACCTACACTAGGGACCCCTACTGAACACGGCAGGGGCCAAAGGCATACCAAAGGCCTAGACAAAAATGTAGGCAATATGACCAGGAAATTTTACCAAGAAATAAGAATTAATTAGAATTCCCGTTGACTTATTTTGCACTGTCACAAACGAGATGACAAGAAAGCAGTTTCATTAACATTGAAGTAGTGGGAAAAGTACCTCTGTATTTTCATACTTAAATGATACATTCTAATGACGGTGTCCCAAGTATTTCCCTTGTTAAATACCTTCTTTGGCTGAAAAACAATACTAAACCTAGGAGCTCCAGATAGCTGAAGTGAGCGGCTTTCTACGGGCTGGTGGCCATGGGGAGCATGGGAACTCCATGACCTTTCACACTGACTTCACCCTCTGCACCTTTTCTTTTGTATCCTTGGTAATATCCATGATAATACATCGTAGGGACTCTGGAACTATGTGAGGAGCTGCTGGAGGCCACAGTGCCTTACAGACAGCATATAACCAACCCCCCAAGAACGGCTGCCGGAGTGGACACCAACCCGGTTGGGAGGCTGCCACTTTGATTAAAGAAGGCGCTCCTGGACTTGCAGTGGACTTTCGCTTTGCAGGCATAATCATAAGGTGAACACAAATTCACAAAATCAAATTGGAAAGTTCCGATGACGGTAATGCTGCGTGCAGCCAAGGCATAAACTATGGGACGAGCACCAGGCAGAAGATGATGCCCCTGTGAGCCACTCTCACCTGGTGGGTTTGTTTACAGGCACGGAAGAAAGTAGTTCCCGAAGTACTAAGTTCATTATTTCATTATAACGTATCCTTCTGGGGAGGCTTGGGAGCCTATTGGTAAGGGCAGAACGCTGTAAGTTGGGTCATCTGTAACCAGGTACCGCCTGTTTTACATTAATAACTCAGAAGAGTCTCAGAACAAGAGATGAAGTGGTCCATTAGCTCATTTATAACAGATGCCTGGGAAAGTGAAGTTATATGTTTGCTGGGACAGCTGCCAATTTTGAAACCTGACAAGCTTAAACGGAAGCCTGAAAATCTGAGCAGCTTCACCCTGACAGACGTTAATACAAGAAAATGGACCGGACTAATTATCAATGACAAATGCGATACTAGCAATGTGGCAGTATCTTTTGAGTCGTATATTCTTTTGATATAAGGGTTACATGTTCAAAAACCAGGGCATGTTCTGTGCTGCTAAGATATATATATATGTGTAGATATTGATATGGTTATAGATATGGATATAGATATAATGTTTTCATCCATTGTTCCCGTGGAGTTTCATAACTCCCATAGTCCTTGTTATAACGTTGGGCTGCTTTAGGACTCAGGAGATAGAAACTCTCTCTGACCTTCTCCTATTCTCCCTTCATCTGCCTCAGACAGATTGTGGGTCAAAAGGCCCTCATGCCAGAGAGGCTTCTGCCGCACACCTGGAGGAAGAAATGTCACACGGAGAAGCCAGGAAGACTGAACAGATGGGCCTTGCTGGGTTTCAGTCAGGCACTCTTTGTCCAGTTCTACGTGGTTGTCAGTCATGCCTATGGAATGAAGCCTCCTTAGACCCCAGAACCACTGGGTTCAGAGAGGTTGCCGAGAGCTGGGCAAGGGGAGGTTCCTGGAAGGTGGCACCCAGGGACAGCTGCAGGCTCTGCACCCCTCTACCATACCTCACTTCATGCATCTCTTCATTCTATCCTTTGTAATATCTAGTAGAGTAAATCAGTAAACATAAAAAGAATCCTTAATGTACACTTAAAATGTAATCTAGGTTTTCTGCAATTTTAGAAATTATGAAATTTCAGAGCAGAAAGCACATACTTGAAAGAGTTTTAGATTTCTAACCTATAAAGAAGTAAACCTTTTCTTATAAGAAGAAATTTCATTTGTTCTTCATAATTACTTGCCTGTCATGTAACAAATGTTTCTTGGACCAAATTTGAACCTTGATGACGGGTCACATACATCCGTATGTCTCCCAATGTTTTTCGTTGTGTGTGTGTGTGTATGTGCTCAAGCTGACTAATAAAGTGACACCCAGGGAATTAATTTGTGAATGGCAGGCAAAAATTAACATAATGAATACAAAAATGATTTTTAAAAGGGTATTTTGGTGGAAGTTTCCAAAGACAAATATTCATTCTCTTTTTGTCACATTGTAAAATGGGGTAATATCTAAATCCTAAGCGATGAGCATTTCAACAGTAGAACATCCATCTAGAAAAAATTGCAACTAGATCCTTTTACTGTCAGTTATTTATCAGTGTTGTAGTGTCAAAGGGCACAGTTATATGTTATGTTGAAAGGTTTGCCTGAAACAATCCCCCTCTTCCTTGAGTCTTTTCCCTATCACATTGGTGTTCATGTACAGGTTCAGGGGTGAGGGGCTCTTTGAACAACTCAGTATTGGTGCAAAATAGTGGGAATATATATGCACATCTAGAAGAGAAAGCTCATGGACATAATGACCCTTTCTAAAGGTTACAGAACTCTAAATACTAACAGAATAAGTTTTCCCAGAAATTTAAAGAAGATGCCAAGTAATTCCTTCATAAATAGTGCATGCCACATTATATCCGTGGAAATTAGCTGTTACTGAGAATCATTTTCTTAGCAATGATGTGGGATGTCAGTGTACAGGGCAATCAACCTTGAAATTCAAAACTTGGATGATTTTTACAATCATTTCTTTTTAATTTTCAGGTAGCAGGCATATGTGTGTAATAAATTTTAGAACACTGGAATTTTCTGACCATATTTAGCATATATATCATTAAAATGTATTTTTTGCTATTTGTATTTTTTCCCTTTGATATTTCTGTGACCCTGAGGTGTCCAATAAGATGTACAAAGCTATTTCTGCAGTTATAAAAAGAAATATACGTACTAACTGGATTTTTTAAATATAAAAACATGTACTAAGGTTTGACTTTTGACACAATCCATTTTTAAGGAATTTCAGATACGGGTAAAAAGTTTCAAATATCATAGAGATAAGAGTTTTTTCATTATATAAAGTATTTTAATTGTGAAACATGTTGTACCCACAGGAAATGTATAAAATATATATGAAAAGTTAATAGAAAAAAATAAAATACACTCCTTAGTACTCACCAGCAAGTTCACAAAATAGAGCGTTACCAGTACCTCAGGAGCCTGTTCACCTCTCCCTAAAATCACTTCCTCTTCAAACTGTCCTTAATTGTGTTTTTATAGTTTTACCCCCATAATGCATCCCCAAACAATAAACTATCCAAAAACTAACTAACTAGTTTTGCCTGGTTTTGAACCTTATATTGATGGACTCATACTGCATTTATTCTTCCACGCCCATTTCATCTCATCGGTATTATACTTCTGAGATTGGTCTGTATTGAGGCATATGATTGAGATTCCTTCATTTTCACCACTGTGCCCTACTCCATTGTCTGACTATCTCAACATTATCCTTTTCCATTGTTGAAGGGCATTTGAGTTTCTTGCAGGTTTTGCTCTTATGGAAATGCAGAAGCTATAAACATTCCTGCCTTTGCGAGGGGATGCTTAACCATTTTCCAAAGTGTTTCCTATTTACATTCTCATCAGCAATTCTCACCCAATCCATATGAACACCAGTACTTGGTTAACATCTGGCTTCTTATGTTTAGTCAATATGATGGACGTGAAATAGTGATATGGGCTCAGCGCGTATAGCTCAACCGGCTAAGGCACCAGCCACGTACACCTAAGGTGGCGGGTTCGAATCCCCAGCCTGGACCTGCCAAACAACAATGACGGCTGCAACC